TGGGCCCCAGCAAGTCTAAACCAGCCCTGACGACTCCATTCAAAGGGGGTCACAACCCACTTTGGGGTCCCCAGCCAAAGTTAGAACCACTGCCATAGACAGATTGAGGAGTGCTGATTTAGTTTTGTATGGATGCTATACTATATAGTATCATACTGCGTGCCAAGTAATGGTAGATACTGTGGTCAAATAATTTTATCAGGCACATTCCCGAAGAGATCACAAGCTCACTTTATATTAACAACAAAGACAATGTTTTATTGAACAAATCTATGTACAGTACAAAAAGGTTTTTAAAATGAAACACTACTGTTGATTTATTGCAGTTTGACGGCTCAGTTTTAATTTGTACTCTTATATAAATGAAAAGTAAAATAATTTAACATTCAACAAGGAAGCACTAATTTCCTTTCTTGCTGAACCTTTAATAGCTTTTACAAATTAACAGAGTCCCAAAATGCATACACTGCATTTAGTCAGAAAGGTGTTATACAGTACCAAATAAATTAAAAAAAATAACACTACTACCCCTTTAAGTCTTTCATCAATACCACTGATGTTAAACAATAAAAGTAAATGAGTACAGCTGAACCTTCACTGTGATATTAAAATCACAAATTTAATGTTATAAATTATCCAAACTATACAATTTATAGTTTTTTTTTTAATGAATATGGCTAAATAACCCAAGTACCAGTAACCTTTCCCCACAGATATGACCATTTTCAACCTACTTAGCACAATTATTTGTGGAGGGTGCCTATCAAGCAGCAACTTTTGAAAATTAGAATTTACATGACCTTTATAATGGAGTGGGTTCAAGTAGTAACAGATGAGCTCTAGAAAACTAACCGCCAAGTCAAACCAAGTTAAGTCCACTTGGAGGAAGATGATTAAAATATGATAATCTGCACAAAAAGCACACAGACCTTGATCCAGCAAAGCACTTCGGTGCATGAATAACTTTAAGCACATCAATACTGCCATTAACTTCAATGGGACTATTTGCATGCTTAAAGTTACACACATTCTTTGCTGGATCAAAACCATACATCAATGTTGGAGTAAGTGTATTTTAAATTACACAATATGACACTTAGTCTTGGAAAAAAAACAAATCCTAGATTTGGAACTTTTTTAAACTCTAAAAATTGCCAACTCAATTAAGGATGGTGTCTTACATGTCTCTGAATCCTATAAAGCGTGTATAATAATCCCACACATTATTTTCAAATTATAGTTACTTAATACTTCAACTGAGTATGCCAACAGGTAACATTTTACAGAAGGGACAACTACATGTCTTTTGAACTAAAATCTGTACTTCAAAATGTTACCTGCCACTTACTCCTTTAAGTGTTCACCTAAGTGAAATAAAAAACTAGATTTTTCAAAATTATATATACTGAACATGTGATATAAACAGACGGTTGTGTGCAACACAAGCATCTTTAAACAAAAAATGAGTTTAACAGGTAGAAAAATTATGGTCACAGTTATATGCATGTACATAGATGCACATAAGCTACACACTTTAAACCAAGAAAATACAAATCCCAATCATGTTTTTGAAGCAACACTTGGCGCTTTAGTACCAGCAAAAAAGCATCAAAGATTAAGTACTTAAAGATTTAATACATAATTTTTTTGATATCTACTGACCAAGTTTTCAAGTTTTTATAACTTAATACTCTAAAATAACCTTTATTTTTTCCAGATGTATTTAAGCAATTTAACTAGACTAAAACTGAAGCTAAAATACAAAGGGGAGCCTGGGAATATTCTAAAGAAGATAACCAGGTTCTTAAAAGTTAGTTGGGTAAAAACTTTACAGTAGATAAGTGGAAGTATGGAAATGCATTTGACTGACTTGTTCCCTTAATTTCATTTATTTAAAAAGCTAATAAATTTTATACACATGATGCACTTTATCTTGTAAATATAAAACAAAAAATGTGTTCTTTGGTGCCTCAAATGTCATGCAGATCTTTCTAGAAGCGCCCCAGACATTGGTATTAATGTAATGCACACATACCTGTGATCATAATTTTATACCCTTTTACTTTTGGCCAAATCCAAGTTAGAGAACCATTTTCTAGGATTCAAGTAGTAAGAATCTGAGTTAGCATTCTTTTTTTCCCTAAGTGAGGGGAAAAGGAGGGAGAAGTTATATGAACATCTATTTGATTTTACAGAGGATTACTAGCAGAGTCATTTTTCAACTATAGTGTTTTAAGTGCCAGAAATATTTAACAGCCTACTTTACAATGAAACCTTTCTGCATTTCCAAATGTGAGTTGTTGCTACAATGAACAGATCCTGTATCCATATTTTTAACTAGTACCAATTCTTACATAATCTGTTGAGTAAGTAAGCTGACTGCCTTACTATACTGTACACACATTGTGATGAATCATTCAACGAGCAAACTAATTTAGCTGAGAAAGCCCTTCTGTGTTGTCCTAGATTACTGTGAAAATTTGACTCATGCCCACTGTTTTTAATCAACGATAGCTTCTGGCTCTCTGAATGTACCCAACCTTCTAGCTTCAAGCACCAAGCAGGGTCCGAAATAAACATACAGTTTGTATGATCTACAAAACAAGGTAGCATTGTTAGTGGGTAATTTTTCATTGCAGTTGAAAATCTGAGCACTTGCAATATTCTCCTTTGATGAAAACTCTACTCCTGGGGGAATTCTGCGCCTCTCTGCATGCGCAGAATTTATGTCCCCTGCAGATTTATTTGCTTCCCTGCAGAAAAAATGATTTGACAGGGAAGCAACAAGAGCAACCAGGAGACCCTGCCTAACAATATGTTTCGGGTGCCCAGGGCAGCTAGCAGAGAAGTAAATCACTGGGGGGGCAGGAGCTGGGACTGGGGAAAACCCAGCTGGTGGCACCTACCCTGTGCCAGGTTCAGCTGCTAGTCCCAGCTGGGCTGGGGACAGGACAGGACTTCCTCTTCCCCTGCATGGCATCTGGGGCTGTGTCAGACCCACCCCAATTTCTCCCCTGGCTGTAGGATGCTCTGAAAACTCTCTCCTCCATGCTTCCTGTGCCCATCGCTCCTCAGCTGCAGGGGGGAGGGTTAACTGTGCAGGAGGTGCTGCTCCCCAATCCGCACAACTCCTTTGCATCCAGACCCCCTCATGCCCAGACCCTCCCGCCGAGCCTCACCTCCAACCCACCCAGAACCCACTCCCTCTGCACCTGGAAAACCTCGACAAACCACCAACACCTGAATTCCCACCCTACCGAGCCCCAACCAGCTGTACCTGGATCCCTACCCCACTGAGCTCCACTCCCCCAGCATCTGGACCCCCCCACTAAGCATCCCCCACCAAAACCCCCCTGGTGAGCTCTATTCCCCCCCACACTGAGACCCCCCCTCCACTGAGCCCCAACCACCTTTACCTGTACCCCCCTGCAGAATCCCATTACCGTTGCACCCAGACCCCCCCCAAGAAGCCCCTATGCATCCAGATCTCTCCCGCATGCAGATCCCCCACTGAGCTGCCCGCACTCAAATCGCCCCACACAGAAATCTCTCAACCCAAACCTGGATCCCCCCCACACTAAGCCCCTCCACACTTGGATCCTGCCTTGCTGAGTCTGCCTGCCCACACCTGGTGCACCTGGCATGGACGGGCAGGACTCTGGGCTGTTTCTAGGGCAGGCCCTGTCCTTGCGCTGTGTTAGGGGTGGGTGCAGCCTCATCGCCGAGTCCGTAGCGCGGGGTGGAGGGGGAGCTGCACAGTGATCTACCACCTCCGTGCAGCCAGTGCCTGTGCTCTCCAATGCCACGTAGGAGCCTCCACATTTATTTCACGAATAAAATTTGCAGAATTTTAATATATTGTGTGCAGAAATAATTTTTTGGCAAAGAATTTTTTATTTTTTGAAGCAGAATACCCTCATTAGTAAAACTCAGGAATGCCTTTTTGTTTTGTGTCTCTTTAGGTCTGTTACATACAGGTGACATATTGAAACTTTCCATCCTTACAGACTAATTCTGGATGTCACTTTACCAGCAATCTTTTGCTGGCCAAAGTACTTAAACACTTTGATTTACATTGCTGAGCTCTTTCATTCGTTTCTGATAAGGACCACCACTTTTTTTCAGAGAGACTGCTACTGCTGGCTGTATTGTGTTTTAAGGTTGACCTGTTAACATTTTCCCAGAATTCCTCCTTTACATGACAGAGCATTACTTGGTAAATCAAAACTTAGTGCTGTATTACTGCAGGATGCTGAGTGGGTATAGAAGTTTTTTCCTGATCTATTTTTGCTAACTGACATTCTTTGCTTTGTCTTCTGTTGTTCTATCTTCATTTAACTCACATTTTTCATAGAAAAGCGTCTCTATTAAATTCTGTCCATCAGTCATACTAAGAATTGAAGGACCTTTATATTTGGATATTATTTTAGCGCTATATGCCAGCTCAAATTCATCTTTATTCATGCCGCACATACATTTATTTTTTAGCCTCAATCTGTACGTGTTAGTACCAGCAGCTGCTGTACACATATTACTTGTGTTAAATCTCTGTGCCTGTAATGGACTTTTTATTTAACATTTCCAAAAAGTCAGTATGTGTAGTTTTGCCATATATTAAGTGGGCTTTTAAGTGCACCTGAATTGTGTCTTGTATAGCTGACACATCTAATATCAGACTGTTGATACAATTTTCATTGTATATGCTGTACTTTAACTTTTTGGCCATTGGTACACACTGTCCATCTCAGACTTTTCTCTACATTCTTCATTTTGGATTCTGAACACAAGTTTATTAAATGACCTCCGTGATTTTTCGTTAAAGACACAAACGCTGAAAAAAGAATGTCCGTTTCCCTCTATCAGATTTTTATACATACGCTGAAAATAAATGTAATGTCTCTTTAAATTAAATCTTTTTAATAATGTGGAGCGACACCCTTTCAACTTGCATGGATAGGAAGGGCTTCTCTTATTACAACTTTTTAATCCAGTGGCACAGGTTACAGTGGTGTTTCTTTCTCTAAGGCAACAGCCACTTCTCTTCTCTGCCTGCTCAGCTGAGTGTTTTATTTTTCTTAAGCGCTCATGCCAGACACTCTGCTGCTGTTCTTTGATCATACACTGGGAATTCATGGGGCTTTCTGGGTAACTGGTACTTTGGGGAGTTTGTAGCAACCTTTCTGGACTCAAAACCTGCACAGCTCCTACTATTCCTCTGTGAGTTCTATCTAGAAAATGTGCTTTGTCTTTTATCAAGGTCACATTTTTCTTTAGTCATTTGAGTCTGCTTTATGATTAAGGCCATCTGGGAAACAGCAAACTGATGCTTCTTCATGTAGTGTTTTCTCACACCACTCCTCAATTGATACATCCTCCCACAACATTTAATCAGGCACCTGTAAAACAGATTAAGTTTGTTAGGTTTCATTTTGTTCCCATGCAAATAGTGCTTTAAATTGGAATTTTGCTTGAGTCTGTCAACATGCCTAGTTTTGAACATGCAAGTAGAAAATGCATAAATTAAACTACCCAAGTCTGTCTTGTCTGAATGCGCTCTCATCAAAGCTGTCTGCTGATTTTCAACTCTCATTTCTTTTCCTAAACACTTAGTTTGACTGAGTTTATCTTCCGGTTTATTAAAATACTTGTTTTTTATTCAGGTCATTACCACTCAATACTAGTACATCTAGTACAGGTTCGAGTACACTGGAATTGGTTATGTGCTCTATTTGTCTTTTTTTAAATCTGTTCTGCCTTGAAGCCTGTTTCCAAGGACCATTTCTCTCTTAGTTTCTATCTCTAAACGTCTGCATATAGAAGCATTGTAAGACTTACTTTCATCATCTGAATCAAATCCAAAGAGTGTCTGACATTTCTTTTGTGCAAGGTGAGCCTCAAGTGCTTCTGAGTTACAGTAGGTGGTCAGACAGTTCCCACATCTAAATCTTTCTGCTGATTTGCTACAAGCTTTATCTTGCTCAGAATGGGCATCTATTTTATCAGTTACAGTTTTTCTACGTTTTGGCATGCTAATGTATCGTTCATCAAGGTAACTTGGAGGCAACGGTCTAACATATGGTTTTGTCACAATTAAGCCATATGAAGTGTTTTCGGTTGTCTGATTTGGTTTGGAAGGTGACTGAGAGACTGCAGCAGTATTGTTTTGTGGTATATCATTGCAGTTCTGTAAAACTGGTATTGACCCATTTTCTGTCCTTGTTTCATCTGCCACTCTGTCCAAAGCTGCATCCGATGAAGCTGAACAAGTCTGCTCCAGTTCAATGTGCCCATTGACCAGTTGGTCACGAACATTACAGTTTTCAGTTTTTGGCTGTACTATAGGCATCTTTTGGTCTATCAAGCTTAAAACTGTAGCAGTAACATCAGATGAATTTTCACTCCCATTCTGAATTACATTGTATGCTTTCTTCTCAATACTCTGGATATATGTCTTTGGTTCTGTAGAGTCTTTCCTTGCCTTCCAAGTTGGAACTGGTAAATCTACAGCTTCTTTTTCGCTACTAGATGCATCTTTTTCTTGAAAACCACAAAGTGACTCTGATAGAGTATCTGACGAATTTTTTTCATTTACTTCAGAACACTCTGTTTTGTTTAAATAATGCTGAGCCTCATGTTCATACAGCAAAGGAAGCTCTTCAAAAAGCTCGCAGCACTCTGCAAAATTGCACTGAGCCTTAAAAACACTGTGACTTTTCGTATGCTCTGCAAGCTCAGTGGACAGCTTAAATCTCTGATTACAGTTAAAATGTAAACAAAAGTAAACATTTGGATATACGTGTCGCTTCAGGTGGTCTATGAAATGCTGAGAATCTGCAAACTTTCTCTGACAGAACCGACATTTTCCTTTATTCCACTTCATTATATGCTGCTGCACCTTCAGATCAGTTGGGTGAGCTTTTCTTGCATGTTTATTGAGAAATCTTATCTTTTTAAACACTCTAATGCAACTGTTGGCAGGGCACTTGAAGTTACCTTCTTGATCCATAACATCCAGATCCTTTTGAGAGCACAAAGTTCCATTTACTTTATGAAGTATAGGAGACTCCTGACTCGGGCTACCGCCACCCTCAGGCAAACTCTCTGTAGTTAAAGGTTCAGGAGTATTATTTACACAGCTGTCACAACTGCCATTTTCAATAACATTATCCTGTTGGCTTACATGATTTTCAGCCACATCCAAGTCCTGGTCGTGGTTTTGTACTTCCATATCAATACTTGGAACTATTGCAGCCTCTGATTCATTATCTTTAGAACTGTTAGAATTCCCATTTTCAAAAGAGACGGATGCATCAGAGCAATTTACTTCATTTAAAGCAGGGGTTTCCTGATCATCATGATGGGTAGCAGCAAGATGCTGTCTTTGTATTTTCTTGACATGATTCCTTAAGTGCTTCAGCATGATTCCTCTCTGCCTGAATTTCCGACAGCATATTACACATGAAAAACTGCCCTTTTTCTGGTGAGCCTGTGCATGCCTCACAATGTGACCGCCAAGAAATTCCCTGTTGCATAACGCACAACGGTGTCTTGGTACATTATGATCTATTTTAGATGCTGCAAGAGCTACATGGTTCTTTCTGGCGTGACCTTTAGATTGGTCTTCAGAGGGGTCTTCGGGGTCAAGCTCCCCATTACTTAGATCTGTTAAAGAGACAACTTCTTCACTCAAAGCCTGACGTTCCATCGGCTTCTCTGTATTAGCAACAGATTTTTCCAGTGTACTTTCACCTAAGCCAACAGATGCTTTATCCCCCAACAGTGATAAACAATTCTGCTTGATCATCAAAAAATTCCAAAACTCAGGATCAAAAAACAAACCTTTCTTCAAAATTGGAAGCAACTCAAAACGTACACGGTTCTGAACAGAACTAGTGTGCTCATTATACTCTTCATCTGCACATTTATATAGATGTTCAACAGTGTAATATGATTCTAAGGTGCGCTCAAGAAAAAAGATAGAAAGCGCACAAATTCTGAGTATCTCCAAGTCATTTGGCAAAAAATGAGCAATCGTTTTATATATGAGACATTTCATAATTGGATCATCACGAAGGTCCAACTGCAGAGCACAGCCACATATTTCAACACAAATCTGCAAACCATCTTCTCCAACCTGCAGAAAAGAAATTAAGATTAATTATACATCATGCCCTGCTTTTATTGTTGGCTTGCGACAGAGGCACATTTGAATGCAAAATAAAGCAAGAGCAACAAACAAAAATTCAGTTCTAAAACAATACTTGAATTTCAACATATAACAACTTTGTATTAAAATATTTCAAAGGTAAGTAGAATTCAGAAGGCATCTCAGTTGTTAATGTAAATGTTTAAATTTGCAAAGTCCTCCAAAAGCAGATTTTATTAAATGATATATAAATAAAGCAATAAAATAAACTACAGCTATGCCGAGCATAACATTTGGCTTGCACTACAGGCTGCATATCTAATGCTGTCAACAAAGCTTCCGATACTTTTGCACTGCACACTTTCTGTGTTAAAGAGACAGCAGGATAACCATTTGGGCATGTTTTAGTTTAAGTTTAGAGAACTGCACGCAAAGGACCATTGTGCAAAACACTATTCTGCCATCCGTATCCTGATTAATTGGTCTATATTTCATAATATAACTGAGCATACAGGTCTGTCACATCTTACGCACATTTAACATGCGCGATTTCAGCTTTACGCGGTCGGCAAAAAACAAAAACAAAAAAGAAAAATAACAATTTTAATACTGTACCTGTAGTGCGGGCGATTCCGCCCACCATTCAACTCAATGTAATTTTGACTATACGCGGTTTTCGCTTTACGCGCTAACCGCGGAACGGAACCCCTGCGTAAGATGAGACTCGCCTGTATTCTAAATATGCTTTCACAGACTCTAGGGAAAGAAGAATATAATGCAGTGTTTTGGTCAAGGTTTGCTGAAGCTTGGGCTCTCTAAATCTGTCCCCATTTTGACTCATTTAACTTGTACTGCATAAAAAATGAAAGCTACAAACGTGGGTGTAACTTTTCAAAGGTGATAAGTGATTTTGGGTGCCCAAACTGACACATCATAATGGCCTGACATTTCAGAAATGGTGAGCTATCACCCTTAAAAATACTAATCACTTGAAATTTAAGCTAGGCCCTTAACTGAAATTTATAATTAAGATGTGTTTCTGAAAATGCCTCCTATCTGAGATATAAAATATTTTGATAAAGGAAAAATTTGGGAACAAGTTTTTATTATAGCTATATGTTGCATACATCTTCAATATCTATGTATTAACCAGTACATACATATTCACATATTTCTTGGGGCATTTAAAAATCTAAATAGCACTTGAGTGTTTAGTTAAATCTTACTAACAGAGCAGTACCAGATTAACATAACCACCAGGAATATTTTTTGGACTATTTACTTAGAGTCAAGACATGGTGAACATTAACAGACTTGTTTCACTTGTGTATAACTATACTGTAACGTTAACAACATAGGTTTACTTTGGTTCAAGTGAAAAAAATGATTACACTCTTCATGCACCTAAGTCTCAGAATGCCAGGAAGACCTAATACGTTCCTACTACTATAAAATCTGCTGTCAGCGGTAAAGTTAGTCAGATATTTGATATGGAATTTGAGCTATTTGGCACATTAGGATGTGCAATGTTGTACTTTATTACAAACTTCTGAGAGACATGGGAAAGCATATAGGACAAGTACAAGCTGAACCTGGTACCAAATGTCATCAAATGAGTGTCTGAAGTACAATGTGTTTTAGCATATTGGTCTACTCTATTAGCTCTTTCGCGTGGAGTTTGTAGTACTTCCTTTTTTCCAGGATCCAGGCTCGATTCCATGCCAAAGAATTAATAATCCCTCAGGACACTGCCACTATCATACAAACTCAAGGTTCATGTTAAAAGAAATAGATCTATACCTTGGCTACAGATAAAAAGGCAGAGAACCAACTAAGTTTACCATGTCTTCTGCTTAGAACCTTGTTTGGCCAAAGGTAAATAATACAACATTACATTAAACAGTTCAATTCTTCAGCAGATATATTGCCAATAACAAGGCTACAATTAATCATGTCAGTTTCTTAATTCAAGGGGTCTCAAATGTACATAGGGTGGGCCTTATCTTAGTAGAGGCTGTCTCACAGATCACACTTTCTCTCATTTGAGACTGCATGGGTCATCAGCTCTCCCACCGGCAAACAAGTAACATCCTTCTGTCAACAACAGCAATTGCTTACATTGCAAAGGAGTATTAGAAAAGCATTTAGAGTACTTTTAGCTCCTTTTCATATAAACTATGAAAACAGCACCATGTAAACAGACAGGTGTTTGCAGACCACCAGCTAGTGCTGTAAGGCCCACTTGTAGTTGATGGATGATAGTTTAGCAACTACTGATTTAACTGATAATACCTGCCTTGAGACAATTCAAAATCTCTATTCTCCTCCTGTATGGTAAATATATACAGCTTGCTTGGGGAAGTATTTCAAAAAGCTTTAGCAGATGTGCTCTTCTGGAATTAGGATGCCAACGGACACAGGACAGGTATGAGAGGCCCAGTGAAAGCCATTAACAATAAATGGTGGTACATTTAATCCAAGCGGAAAGCAATTATATGGAAGATACTATTTAATCAAAATGACAACTGAATCTCAGCTGAAATGAAGAAAACCCAACAAAAATACTGCAAAATGATCTTATACAAAAATACTAAAGCAATCAGCCAAACCCATCTTCTAGATGAGAAATATAAGTCTACAATTTTTTCATTCCCATTTTCTTTTGTAAGTCTACAGATGCTTTGATCATTTAGATCACTGGACATTTAACTCCTCTCCGTGTGCTACAGACAAGTTACTTGTATTGATCTATTGACACGTACTGTGTTGTAGTATCCCATTATAGCTGTTGCTGAAGGAACTCCAAAAGGAACAAACACAGTTTATCAGATTTCTGCATGAAAGCATGTTACTATCATTACAACGCTTAAGATTACGAGAACAGCAGTAAATTAGAAACCAAGTTATTTTTCTTTTTCTAGTTTGTTTACTTTGTGCATTTATTTATTGTAAATGATGCAATTTCTGTTGTGTCAATTTCCTCTTTTATTTATGTGGGCTCCTCCCAACCCTATAGAAATATGAGAGAAAAACAATTTAAATAATAGGAAAAAGTGCATTTGTAGAACCACAACAATGGACAAGGGAACTCAGGGTCATATGAAGTACCCAGAAGTTCTTTTAGCTAGTTTTTTGGGTCTTGACTTAATTTGAAATTAATATTGTCTAGCTATCCCTTCTTTCCCCCTTTGCTGCACACAAGAAAATGAGGTAGCAATGACTAAGTCAAATTGGTAATGCAAAAAAAAAAAAAATATCACTTACTTCATCCTTAATGACTTTCATGAAAGGGAAAATTACTCTGACATTTGTAGCTATCCTTAAAAGCTGGTAGCACTGATCAACAAATACTTGTTTTGAAGGGTTAGATTTAAGCTGCAGTTTACTCCACATAAATATCAGGTCCCTATAAATATAAAACAAAACAGTTTTGTTAAGCTATGGTTGAAACAGAGCTGGCCCTAAGCAAGATGTGTTTCTATAAGCAGCTTGACTATGCATATTGTTTGCATGCTAGTAATTCTGTAACTATAATCATATTTGACAGTTAAGGGCAAAGCTAATTATAACCACAAATATATGCATGAAGTTACATGATGGAAAATGTCATTTTTAAAGCATCTATGGTATACCCTATCATGGACCCACTAAAATATGCAACAGAAGATTAATGGATCCAGTTTAGTATCACAGAGAACTGGACAACAAAAACAGAAAGCTTATAGCATTTACCCCTGCTTTCCCAAGATTATAGGGAAGATGACTGTCAGGATGGCCATGCCAGTATATTCTGGGATTCAATTACATTCACTGTAAGGTGGGGAAGCTTTCAGGAGCACAAATGTCTGAGGGTGACAAAATGAAAGGATGGTAGGGACATGCTCTCTAATTTATTCCATTATTAGGGGAAGCCTATGGGTTACCATTTAGAAGATATTGATGTTTTCCATGTGCATGTCTATATCACTACTATACTGTCCTTTTCTGACCGGTGATTTCTTCTGTACTATGCAGTGTTGTTGTAGCCATGTTGGGCACCGGATATTAGAGAGAGAAAGTGGGTGAGATAATATCTTTTATTGGACCAACTTCTGTTGCGAGAGAGACAAGCATTCAAAAGCTTGTCTCTCTCACCAAGAGAAGTTGGTCCAATAAAATATTACCTTGTCCAGCTTATCTTTTGTACTAGCCCTTTTAGCCTATAACAGGTATATGGCAATATCAGGCCAGCTGTTGAGGATGTATGGTAGGGGAAATTTCTGGCCTGCATCTTCAAGATGAATATAGAAAAACGTCTCCTGCCTTTATATGCAGCTTCAAGTCTTTGATGTTATCCATCCCATAGTTGGGTGCAGGGGGAGTGGAATCTTGTGTAGAAGGAAATGAGGTCTTTGGTCTCTGGTCTATACCATACAGGTGGACAGCCCAGTGAACCTCTAATGAGCAGGTACATTTGCAATTTACAGGATAGTAGGCAGAGTTTTCACTGGGATACGTATTTCACAGTTGAACACTGGTAGAGCTCATGGGCAACAGGAAATAAAGGCAATTTCTTCCAACTTTAACTATGGAGTCACTAGTGTGACTCCATGACAGATGGATTCAACATAAGATACCTTTCAAAAGAAAGAAGTCTAAAAATAAAATAAAGGGACCTATACCCCAGAAAGAGGTTCTTTAACACCTCTAGAACAAACCTAAGCAACCACCCTTAGTTAATAATTTAAAGAATTACACACACCTTCCAAATCTCATGGGTTAAAAAAAAGAGCCAAGATTGGCTGAATCTCACACTTGTATGAAATGAGCCTTGTCATGACCAGGTTGCAGCCCTGCCAAACTAACCATGAGATGCGATCAGGCCACTTGGATTTTTTTCTAGTGAATCCCATAGAACTTAGTGAATTAGTATAAAAAAACCAAAAGGTTTGGCTGACTTTTTAATCTGTGCCAGATGCAAGTCTAGCAAGCTTTTTGACATCAAGCTTGTGAAGAACAGCCTCACTAAACGGAGGAAAACATTGCTAGGATTGACTGAATATGATAGAACACCTACATCACTTGAGAATTTGGGGTGTTTCAACAGCTCCACGGTACATTTAAAAATACAATATAAATTGGTTCGGATACTAGATCCTGAATCTCACTTATTTAGTACTTAAGTCATTTTCCCCAGGAAAATTAAGTTCCAAGTAAAATCTGAGCTCACAGATAGTGGACAAAATTAAAAATGGGCTTTCCTCAGCGTAATCACATATCCTATCATTGTGTAAGTGTACGAAGCTAAAAAAAGACCATCAATCATTTCAGCCTCTTTGTATTAGGAACTACCTATACCATGAAGCCAGCCAAAAAAGCCTGAACTGATGGTAGCCATTTTTATGCACAAAAATATTGTTCCAAGAAATTTCACAGGGAAAAAAAAATCTCCTGCCTTAAGGATTAAACAAGATGTATGAACCACTCATGCTCAGCTTTGCCAGGATCATGAATATCTCACAAATACATCAAGACACTTGTAAAGCTTGTGAAAGCACAGAGAGAAACGGATTATCTTCTGTATAATCAAATAGCTATTTCAACTTTTCACAAACATTAAGGGAAGAAGCTCAGAACCTAAACAGACAAGAGAAGAAAGCTGAGCAGCTTGTGCAGGGCATATAAAAGTATTCATATGGGCCTTTTAGCACAGGATCTTGAAACTTTTCCCCTTAAATTCCTATGTCCACCAAGTAGACTACTCATTAGCAGGAAAACTCCTGACATTTATAAACACCAAGGGTAAAATTTTAAAAAGCATCCAAATGACTCAGGACCCTAAGTCCCATTTTCAAGTCATTTAGGCACATAGGAACTTATGTCTAACTGAAAGTGAACAGGATCTAGACTAAGTGGCTCAGTAACTTTTGAAAATGGGACTTAGGTTCTTAAGCCACTTGGATGCTTTTGAAAGTTTTACTCCAAGCGTCTATCCTCTCGGGGGCCAGACTGACAAGAAGTGTGAATACAGGATATGGTGCAGAGCTTCCCTGGTTCTCTGACCAATGTGGCCAGACATTCAGCCCGACGTGATCAGTTATCACCATCCTTAACAAATGCTGAAAACAGTATTTGCCACCGCAAACAGCAGTTGAGGCTTTGTCTCTCTTGACCTAGATCTAAGACCTTTGGTACCGATGTTAAGAGGAAAGGCAAATGTGACCTATTTCAAGTAAATGGAAGAAACATCCCTGCACATAGGTATTGGTAATAACACCAGATGTCCATTCTGAATGGTTATGAAAAGATCCCTCTGGTGTACCCTACACAAAAGATATCGAACTAAGTACCATTGAGCCAAAGGTCAACAGCAGATCAGATAAAAAGATCAACAACTGTGTTTCTTTCATGCCAAGCAAGTGACCATGACAGATGTCTGGAAACTACCAAATCACATATCTGGAAGGTGTGATCCTGTTTAAGTTTGCTTAGGTCAACATCCTGGTTGTCGGTTTGAATCATGATTACCTTGCTATACTTAAAAAGGTTGTAGAGCAGTTTTTAAACTAAGGGCTGGGGGAAAGCGACAGGTGCAGAGGACCAGATGGTTCAGACATCCCTTAGGGTAGGATCTATAAATGGAGATGCCCTATGTCCTAATAAGGAGGAGAGGTTGGAAGATGATAAAATACAGGAAGGATCTGATGAGAAACAGTCAAATGAAAAAAAGTCCCATTCAATTACATCATGTAATGGCCAGCAGCTAAAAAGTGACACGTTTTTAAAGTGCTTTTATACCAATGCTAGAAGTCTAAATAATAAGATGGGTGAACTAGAGTGCCTCTAAATAAGGATATTGCTATAACAGACAATGCAGAAACTTGGTGGAATGAGGATAATCAATGGGACACAGTAATACCAGGGTACAAAATATATTGGAAGGACAGAACAAGTTGTGCTGGTGGGGAAGTGGCACTATATGTGAAAGAAAGCATAGAATCAAATGAAGTAAAAATCTTAAATGAACCAAACTGTACCATACCATCTCTATGGATAGTAATTCCATGCTGGAACAATAAGAATATAGCAGTAGGGATATATTACAGACCACCTGACCAGAACGGTGATAGTGACTGTGAAATGCTCAGGGAGATTAGAGAGGCTATTAAAATAAAAAACTCAATAATAATGGGGGATTTCAACTATCCCCATATTGACTGGGTACATATCACCTCAGGAAGGGATGCATAAAGTTTCTTGGACACCTTAAACGACTGCTTCTTGGAGCAGATAGTCCTGGAACCCACAAGAGGAGAGGCAATTCTTGATTTAGTCTTAAGTGGAGCACAGGATCAGGACCAAGAGGTGAATATAGCTGGACCGCTTGGTAATAGTGACCATAATATAATTAAATTTAACATCCCTGTGGCAGGAAAACCACCACAGCAGCCCAACACTGTAGCATTTAATTTCAGAAAAGGGGACTATACAAAAATGAGGAAGTTAGTTAAACAGAAATTAAAAGGTACAGTGCCGAAAGTAAAATCCCTGCAAGCTACACGGAAACTTTTTAAAGACACCATAATAGAGGCTCAACTTAAATGTATACCTCAAATTACAGAACATAGCAAGAGAACCAAAGAAGTGCCACTGTGGCTAAACAACAAAGTAAAAGAAGCAGTGAGAGGTAAAAAAACATCCTTTAAGAAGTGGAAGTTAAATCCTCATGAGGAAAATAGAAAGGAGCATAAACTCTGGCAAATGAAGCGTAAAAAAATATAATTAGAAAGGCCAAAAAAAATCTGAAGAACAGCTAGCCAAAGACTCAAAAAGTAATAGCAAACACATTTTTAAGTACATCAGAAGCAGGAAGCCTGCTTAACAACCAGTGGGGCCACTGGATAATCGAGATGATAAAGGAGCACTCAAGGATAAGACCATTGCAGAGAAACTAAATGAATTCTTTGCAGTTGAGGATGTGAGGGAGATTCCCAAACCTGAGACTGTTTTTAGGTGACAAATCTGAGGAACTGTCCCAGATTGAGGTGTCATTAGAGGAGGTTTTGGAACAAACTGATAAACTAAACAGTAATAAGTCACCAGGACCAGATGGTATTCACCCAAGAGTTCTGAAGGAACTCAAATATGAAATTGCAGGACTACTAATTGTCATCTGTAGCCTATAATTTAAATCAGCTTCTGTACCAAATGACCGGAGGATAGCTAATGTGATGCTAATTTTTTAAAAAGGGCTCCAGAAGAGACCCCAGCAATTACAGGCCAGTAAGCCTGACTTCAGTACCGAGCAAACTGGTTGAATCTATAGTAAAGAACAAAATTGTCAGACACATAGATGAACATAATTTGTTGGGGAATAGTCAACATGCTTTTTGTAAAGTGAAATCATGCCTCACCAATCTACTAGAATTCTTTAAGGGGTTTAACAAGCATGTGGACCAGGGGGATCCAGTGGATATAGGGTATTTAGATTTTCAGAAAGCCTTTGACAAGGTCCCTCATCAAAGGCTCTTAAGCAAAGTAAGCAGTCATGGGATAAGAGGGAAGGTTCTTTTGTGGATTGGTAACTGGTTAAAAGATAGGAAACAAAGGGTAGGAATAAATGGTCAGTTTTCAGAATGGAGAGAGGTAAATAGTGGTGTTTCCCAGGGGTCTGTACTGGGCCCAGTCCTATTTAACATATTCATAAATGATCTGGAAAAAGGGGTAAACAGTGAGGTGGCAAATGATGATACGAAACTACTCAAGATAGTTAAGTGCCAGGCAGGCTGCAAAGAGCTACAAAAGGATCTCTCCGAACTGGGTGACTGAGCAACAAAATGGCAGATTAAATTCAATGTTGATAAATGCAAAGTAATGCACATTGGAAAACAATCCCAACTATGCATATAAAATGATGGGGTCTAAATCAGCTGTTACCACTCAAGAAAGAGATCTTGGAGTCATTGTGGATAGTTCTCTGAAAACATCCATTCAATGTGCAACAGCAGTCAAAAAAGCGAATAAAATGTTGGGAATAATTAAGAAAGGGATAGATAATAAGACAGAAAATATCATATTGCCTCTGTATAAATCCCATGGTATGCCCACATCTTGAATACTGCATGCAGATATGGTCGCCCTATCTCAAAAAAGATATATTAGAATTGGAAAAGGTTCAGAAAAGGGCAACAAAAACTATCAGGGGTATAGAACGGCTGCCCTATAAAGGGAGATTAATAAGACTGGGACTTTTCAGCTTGGAAAAGAGACAACGGGGGAAGGGGGGATATATGATAGAGGTCTATAAAATCATGAGTAGTGTGGAGAAAGTAAATAAGAAAGTGTTATTTACTCCTTCTCATAACACAAGAACTAGGGGCCACCAAATGAAATTAACAGACAACAGGTTTAAAACAAACAAAAATAAGTATTTTTTTCCAGACAACACACAATCAACTTGGGGAACTCCTTGCCAGAGGATGTTGTGAATACCAAACTATCACAGGGTTAAAAACAGAACTAGATAAATTTATGGAGAATAGGTCCATCAATGGCTATTAGCCAGGATGGGCAGGGATGGTTTCCCTAGCCTCTTTTTGTCAGAAGCTGGGAATGGACGACGGGGATGGATCACTTCATGATTACCTGTACTATTCATTCCCTCTGGGGCACCTGGCATTGGCCACTGTCGGAAGACAGGATACTGTGCTAGATGGACCTTTGGTCTGACCCAGTAGGGCTGGTCTTATGTTCTTGGGCTCTGAAGGTACTTAGTCCTCTAGTGTGTCAAAGACTGCTCCTCCAAAACATTTATGTGCAGTTGTTCCTTTAGAGACCAAGTGCAGCTTTGTGTAAAACACCTATATGTGGGTGTTATTTCAGGCAGGACGCATCTGCATTAACTACAATTTGGATCAGCAGACTTTGTTCCTTCTTAACTGTAGATTAAACTGATGGCAGCCTAGAGACTGAGTGGCTCAGAGGCCATCTTTCTCTGAGAGGGTATGTGAGTGAGTGGTTCACATTAAGAGATCTCAGGATAGACCAAGCTTGCTTCAGGTGGAGGTGTGCCACAGATACTGACAATATATGTGGCCATCAGCCCAACGTCAGTATTATTATCCTTGCAGATACTTGTTGGCCCTGGCAAATCCTCTCTGCTAGATCCATAGTGCCCTGGATCCTGACTGGGGGCAAGATGGTTTCTTCCTACACATGACACAAGCTTAGGCATTCCAGTGGCCTCAGAGAAAAGCTGAGACTTGGGGTACTTTAGCTTGAACTTTATGGTCTCCAGCCCTCTAATAATGGCACCGTGATTCTCAGATGTCTTCACAAATGTTGCCCGTGATGACTTAACCTTTTGAGGTCTGAAGAGTTATTCTGCAGTGTGTGCAGGTGAGACAGCTAAGCATTTTATAAACAGCACAGTAATTATTCTAGCTGTGGACACAATTATTTGCCCCAGAACCTTTAGAAAATTCAGAAGCTTTTGCTGCTTCTGCTTAAGGACGCCAAAGCACCAGAAAATGGTAAAAGTGTTGCAATTCTGAAGACAAGTGATAAAGCATGAAGCACCTTTACTGGAATTTCACAACTCTGACCCTGAATGCAGAAGTGAACGTGAGGATGAGGAGATCTTTGGTTATAGTTTTTACAACGGACTATGTACAGTGTCTAACCCAAAGATCAATTGTATAAAACATTTAAAAAACTTAAGGAAAAGGAAACATATGGTTAAAAACAGGTCTGAAACCCAAAGTGTAGACAAAAATTATTCATTTGTAATCATGAATTGTTGGTAAAAATCTGCATTTGTATCTTTATATGAATGCCAAAAAATAATTTCAGGTTCAGAATTCATTCAACTTTTTTGCTTCATCATAAGAAGTAACTCTTTTACATATGAGATATAACACAAACTTTAGCCAGAAAAAATAAAGATTAGACAATCTTTGTGAACTCTTTAAAAGGCAAAACCTTCTCTTGTCTTTCTCATCTCCCTTGATAAACCAGGCAAATACTGGGATCTGAGGATCCTGGAAGACTTATTTTCCATTTTTCAATCTGATTTTAAACCTTCTCTTGATCCCTCACAAAGCAGATCAGTAGGATTCAGCAAAACTAACTGAATCTTCTTGCTTCAACAACATGTTAAACACAGATAAACTAAGTGTACTTTTTAATAAAAGTCTGTCAAATTTTACCTGGTTTAAGAAGAAATTTCAAAAGTAAAACAGATTATTCTCTGGTAGACACCTTTCAGACCTCAGAGGACGGAGCAATACTTGTTCTGATGTATTCTAGAGAATACGTTTTCAAAAAAATCTCAAGCCCTATCTTTTCTCTGAATGCATGGAGATTTATTTTAATTATGTGAATCTTATCTAAATGGATACATTTAACTTTGTGATTCTGCAGGTTCTTTGGATTTGTAACACAATAGCCTAAGGGAATAAATTAAATTGGAATTAACAAAAAAGGATTCTCAAACACAGCAGATTTTCAGAGAAGATTACAGATCCTCTGTTAGATATTAAAGCATACATCCATGGGATGCTGTAGGTAAATTACAATAATGTTGGTGTGACTATTTAAAAAGCTGGATAGCAAAATACTTGTGGTGCCAGAAAATTTGTAAGTAGGTTATATTTACTGATATTGACAGCAGTGCAAGTCTCTAGTTTAGACACTCACCCTTCTGCTGCTACTTTGAAGCTATCATCAAGTATAATGAATGTAGCATGCACCCACTACAATGAAAACGATTAGGGGTACAGAACGGCTGCCTTCCATGTACAACTACATAGACAGGCTAGATATGCATAACATGCATACTGGAAAAGTCAGAACAGTTACAACTGCAGTTTTAAAGTTTAGCTGCATCTTAAAGTTAACACACACCACTTCTATCTTGGCAATAAGCATTTATCTTCTAAGCTCCTTCACCAGAAATAAAGTATTTACCAGATACAATACATGTCCCCATTTTGGAGCTGTGGGACCAGGAACGATTCACACAGCTGTAAGGCTAAGGTAGTCTTCCCTTCTTTTTCAGTGTTGCAGATGATCTCAATTCCACTCTTGCAATCAGTCCTCAATAAGTGCTATGCAATTAAAATAAAATCAGTTTAGATAAGTTTGCTAATGCGGGGGAAAAAAGTTGATCACACCTTGCTATGCTAAAGTAGTCATTGATATTTCCGGGAATTGCTACTGACAGGGATTCTTTGGCAAAGGTTTTGTGTTTTTCTGCAGATAATCATCTAAGACAAATTGTCTTATGCCCAAATAAATTTGTTAGTCTCTAAGGTGCCACAAGGACTCCTCGTTGTTTTTGCTGATACAGACTAACACGGCTACCCTCTGAAACCTAAGACAAGTTTACCTGTTAGATTTTATCAGATATTTAGGGTAAAGTTTTCAATGGGATTTAGGGGTCAGTATATATAAAACCTATTCTTTCTAGGCATTGTGTTGCACATATCCTGGAAGCCCACCTGAAAGTTTTATCTTGATTTTGACAAATTAGACACAAAATGCACTCATTTGTAACATGTACGATCAATACTAAAAGGAGAAACTATGTAGTGCCATTTCACATATCAGCACAAACGAAAAGAAAACACTTTTTTAGACATTTAAGAAATTTGACAAGGCAGAATTAAACTGAAAGGAATCTAAAATTAACCTCTTCTGCTATAGCCCCGTTGTTTTAAAACAACTATTCGACTTTGTTACAAAATGTCTCTGAATCTGTTATTTAGAGAATATCTGGGGAAAATTGTGTCTTCAGGCAAATGTAAATGACCAATGAAATCACTAGGTGTTGTATGTTCAGACTTCAGCCCTCAGAAAATAAATTCAAATGGATACCAATCAGGTCACCTGCTGTGCTGACATTTGGCTGTAGTACGAATAAAAAGTTTCATATGTTTCTCTTGATGACTATACAGGAGAAGAGTATAATATATTGCAAGAGGCATAAAAATGTACACTGACACAGTACCTCCTGGAATAGCTGATCTTCTACTGGAGACATATAAAGACAGGTGAAAAAAGCTTGATGGAAATACAAATCTTTACTGATTTCTGGATGATTTATGCAAGATTTGATAAAAGCCATTGCCTCTGGGATGCGTTCGCAGGCAATAAGGTATCTGGCACGTAGTTCAAAGAATAGTGGATTTTCAGAGCTTAAGTATTTGTTAACTGTATGGAAAAGAAAAATTTAGACATAATTAGAATCTCAAGTCCCCATAAAAATATTTAAATTACACACATTTTTTACAGGACCTTATCTACAAGTTGTATAATCAACTATCTGCAAATGAAGCCAACCATATATTTAAATACCATATTCAGGGATCTAGCTTTCAGTTTGGAGTGAGAGGAATTACTATGCTGACAATACTAGTGGTCTTACTCATTTAGAATCCTGTCTCCAACAGTGACCAGTACCAGCTGCTTCAGAGGAATGTGTAGTAAACCTTGCAGTAGGCAATTATGGGATAACGTGCACTCAGACTTTCTCCCTCACCCCCATTAGTTAGAGTGTGGCTCATGTCCTGAAGCATGAGGATATATCTCCCTTCCAAAACACTCTTTAAAATGTCTAACAATCTTGGATGTTCTTGATATCCACAAAAATGGGGAATGTGGGAATGGGAGAAGATAATCAAATATAATTTAGCTTCAGTTCAAATACTGCATGTTTTAGTTTTTAATACAATTGTATTTTACCTGCTTAGATAGATGGAAAACTTTAGCTTCTGACAAATATTTTTAAGATTCTGATTTACACTGGGCTCTTTTCAGTAAATACGGCAGGGCGTGGAAACATTTTGAAGCTGAAATTCTGAACTGTTACAGAGAACTGAATTAAATAAAAGCTAGAAACTTCCAGAACTGTTCAAGCTGTTATCCCTGCAAATACATTCCATAAAAATAAAGTAAAAGCCAGAGCATTAGTGCTGTATTAAATGACTATCTACAATGTTAGGCTGTGGACACCAGATTTAATGAGTCATATAGCAATTCCAAAGCTAACTTAGATCAGTGGTTCTCAACCAGGCATCTGGGGACTCCTGGGGGGCCACGAGCAGGTTTCAGAGGGTCCGCCAGGGTTCAGCAGGACGAGTATTAGACTTGCTGGTGCCCAGGGCAGAAAGCTGAGGTCCCACTGCATGGGGCTGAAGCCTGGGGCCCTGAGCCCTGCCATCAGGGGCTGAAGCAGAAGCCTGAGCAACTTAGCTTCACAGTGTCCCCTGTGGCACGGGGCCCCGAGCAATTGCCCTGCTTGCTATCCCCAATGCCGGCCCTGGCTTTTATATGCAGGAAACCAGCTATTGTGGCACAGGTGGGCCGTGCAGTTTTTATAGCATGTTTTGGGGCCTCAGAAAGAAAAAGGTTGAGAACCCCTGATTTAGATCACCCCAGCTCTACTGTCAAAATGCATTTCTATTTGAAATTATAGGATAACCTCAGACTTTAGTCAATATATAGTTCTCATATTAATATCTCCACAAGCCACAATTACGTCTAATTCCCTCACATATCATTTACAAAAAAAAATGATGATTAGATATAGAGTTTATTTCATCACTTCATTGTATCAACCCAAGGTGTCCTTATAAATTAGGATTAAGTTAATCTCAGCCTTAAAGGTGCACTAACAAAGAGTATGTTACGGTTTACTTTCAACAAGGACAACTGGACTAGAATACTACTTATGTGCAACACAACCAAGTTAAAGTTGCAGTAGAAACCTTAGAACATATTTCTAAAGATATTTAGGAGCCTAAAAATGCAAAAAGGCACTTTGTAGTCACTCAAAAGCACCTAATTACCTTTAAAAATCTGGCCCCTTGACTGAGTACTAAATTTTCAATCTGAAGATTGAACTCATGCTAGATTTTACATTTAATTTCTTCAACTTGAAATGGAAAAAACTTAAACGTGTTCATAAAAAATAGAAAAAATAAAACACATATGCAAAATAGCAGATTTTAGATCAAAGTTTACATTAACATATTCTCTTTAAACTTGAACAGTTTAAGTCTCATTCCAGACTACAAAATCTCAGTGTGATGCTTCTAGTTTGAGGAGCACATGTTGCATCCTGCCTTTTGTGTACATTGTAAGTACTCTGGGGCGGAGACTGTTTGTTAAGTGTCTTGGACAATGAGGCTGATTTTTAGAGGGATTTTTAGGTGCTATCAAAACACAGAAATAATAGGTTTATCATAATAGTGAAGTAAATTACTTAAGCGTACAAAGTTGGATGACAATCTTCTGTAATGCAAATAGTCTAATTCTACCTCAACTTTCCAATAATAATAATAATAATAATAAAAAAATTCTAAGGTACCTGTGTGAGAAAGTTATGAGCAAGTGAAAAAGGAGTGGGAAGGATTTAAATGGAAGGCAGAATTCAAGCATGAACTACAGTAGTTATTGCAGACTACCACTAGAACCAAAATCACTGATATTTCCAATTAAATTAAAAACACATGATGGGACTACTTGTGTAATGCTATATCTATATTAAAGGTAACCCAATCCTCAACCACCTATTTTACATGTCAAAAAAGTCCCTGACAAGCTATGAGATTTGATATTTAACTCCTACCTCTACTCATGTCAAAAGACTGTGAGCATAATGATTTGGTACATTATCCATTTTCACTGAGTAATGAATGGAAAGTCTACAGTACTATTTTAGCTTATTTATAGAGTTTTCAGATGATATAGCCATGGGCCACCATGCCCCAGCATCCAAAGGTGAGAGAGTTCAATTTCACAGCAGAAACCCCTGACTACTGACTCTCTCACCTACATGGGTACTGACCACAGCTATTCACAAGTCACTTCTCAGACTTTTAGGTGCTTTTGGGCTGATTAACCCCACCCGTTTTCCTTTCCTCCCCTCTCTAGCGTAGAGGGCCCTATCTTCCCAGGCAAGAATATACATGCTGCTGATCTAAGCCCCAAAGCAACAGACAAATCCTAATTACAGGCACAGCATTTGAACAAGTGTTAATTTAAAAAAGGTAGGAGAAAAATAAAATAAAGCATCTATTCTTGTCCAGACAAGGACTATACAGAATCTTGCTTGAATTTACTGGATGTTCTGATTATAAAGGTTAAAGGTTGGTAGCAGAAAGCTTTTATGTCAGAGAGTCTCTACCCCTTCTAATTTTAACTTCTCCTGCAATTCATGGCAGGCTGCTTTGGAGACTCAATGGTCTGCCTAAAAGGTCCGTGTATCTGTCTCCAGGAAAGCACTTTTTCAATAGTAAAGCCCAGATCTTTTTCTAAAGATTGCCCTCCTGCATGGCCATCCGGAAATATTGCTGAAATGATAACCATTGCTTATCCTAGCCTATTCCTCTGTCTACTAATTGGGGGTCCTAACACAGCGTAGTAGGATTTATTCATATAGTACACACTGTCCAACTGATTTTCATAGATGTAATACTTAATGATAAATCCTAAATCCATAACTAGATGGACGACAGACAGGCAAGATGGATAAAAATCCATTATTTTAAAGAACAGGGATTTTTTAAAATTTAAATTGATTTTTTTATTTAAATACAGATGCTTTTTAAAAATAAACCTACTTAAAGTTATGACAGCCTATAGAAAGATTTAAACTTACTATAATCTAACACTATTAAATTAATACAAAAAATAATATTAAGCAGTAAGTTTGCTGCTAAGTTGTTTTTTTAAACTATGTATTTAGGAAGTTTTGACCAGTTTACAAATCCTTGCCAAGTACATATCAGAAATAAATTATTACAAGACTTCACTTTTGTTTAAAGAGACATACAGGAATATAGTCATCGGATCTTTCTACTTAACAGGGTATTACCATAGTACAGAGTAAGTATCATTACAATACCTATGACATTTCTAGTGATATTATTAAATTGAGTGAACTCTTTATACACACATTTAACAGACCAGGTATGTCTATCAAATGTTAAGATCCAAAAAAACTGGATTGGTGTGCTGGATTTTTTTCCGCAGGTGAATGCAATCTGAGTACTGACGAAAAGATAACCAAGTATATAAGTATCTGTCTTCTGCTTATTTTACTGGGTACAGAATTGGTGTGAATTTTTCCATAACCACAACCTCCTATTTTTTGAACCATTCTGCAATGGTTGAGCTATTTTTCTTTTTCCCATGAAAGGCTACCCACAGTTGAGCAGCTACTAGCAGATGAGAGATTAATTCTTCATGTCCTTGTGAGAGACCATTTCCATTAGGAAGCCCCAGGAGCATTATCAAAGGATCATTTGGCAATAAATATCCAAGAAGTTGTGATATTTAGCTACCAACTGTATCCCAACACTCTCAAGTGACTGGACATGTCCATCATATATGCATAAAATCTCCATTCTCGCCACAATTTCTCCAACATTTATTCCAGTTCGTTCAGCCTATTTATATTTTTTAACCTGGCTGGTGTGAAGTAGCACTAAAACAGTATTTTAAATACATTTTCTTTTATTGTGCTGCAGACTGAGGTTGCTGGTCCTCTTTTCCAGATCAAACCCCATTCCTTTGGCGTGATTGGTCTATCCACATTTTCAAAGCATGTCATATAGGGACACTTTTCTGTTAGGAAATCTGTCTGCACAGATTGAAATAAATTAGTTACAATTTTTTGTTCCCTAATTGACTAGATGCCTTTGCTTCTATTAAAGTTAGCTTTAAACAGTTTTTCTGGAAAGCTGATAAACTGTGTCTGACTTGAAAGTACTGGTATCAGGGAAGAGCAGGCCAGTTAAAGGTATCTTTAATCTCTAAATAAGATAGAAAAGTTTCTTTACTGAATAGTTTACCAACCGTGTTTATTCCAAGGCTCACCCAATCTTTGAAGCTCTCTGGTTTGCGATTTGAGTTAAGATCTGGATTATTTGCAATTGGTGTCATTGATGAGGAAAAAGAACTGATCTTATCTCTAGTTCTATCCCAAACCCATAGAGTAGCCTTTGCTAAGAGATGTGTGTACATTTCTGGCAGATTTGATTCTTTATTAATCCATAATAGCCCAGCAATGTTTACACTGCCACAATTTTCTTGTTCAATACAGACCCAGTGTTTTGCTGGGCTAGAGCACCTCCAATTCACTACTGCTTTGAGCTGGCTGGCTTGATAGTACCATAGAATATTCTGAACAGCCAGTCCACCCTATT